TCAACTTACATCAAAACTGTAAAGAATTTAGGGCAAGTACCTATAGGTAGGTATAGTGTGATTAAAATTACAGAACGTACACAAAATACAATTTCTATAACAAGAAATTGCTACGCCCATGCTATGTTTGCAATTTATCAAAAATTTATGGAATCGCGGCTAAGATTTAATCTCACGATTTCTAGGAATTTTGGTGATTCTTAAAACTAAATATCATAGAAGAGTATGGACATCTAGTAATTGCTGCGTGATTTTAACCAAAGCTGAGAAGAAATAGATTAATGGCACAATTTATATCATAATTTTTATATTTTTGTTCGATGAAATCTCATATAAGCAGTCGTCATGGAGATGGAGAATCACAATATAGAGCTAACAGTTATTTCTACGAAGATACCTTATGTTCCTGTACCTGTTATTGTCAGTTTTCAATTTGTTTACTTTCATTACGAGTCTCAATTATGGCAAATTTAGTTTACAATAGAATTTGAATAGCAATTCCCATTTTTCAATTAAAAAATGTTACTTTGGTAACAGGCATACAAAAATCTCTTTCCATCATAACTAATGATCTAACTTTACAAAACAAAGCGGAGTCGCAATCTGAGAATTAAAATTAGGTTATAGCTGTTTGCAGTTTTTTTTTTTTTTTATTTCCTTTTTATTTGATAAGTCCCACGCCTTACACATGCAAGATGTCCACGTAAAAAAACCGTTATTCTACATGCGGTGCACTATTAATTGCTAAATCTTTATTTCTCCGATGTAATCACCATTGTTATCGCGCTGTACCGTCACCAAAACATTAGGCCATAAATAAATAATTGGTGGTACTCGGTCATTGAGTTCCAACGCGTTAAAATAAACGAAACGATCAAATAAAGGGAACGATACTGGCTGAGCCAGTCCAAATATTCAATTAAGCGGACAGATGATCGCACTAAACGTTTATGCACGAGTAAACTTCTCTGCTAAGTCAAAACGTCGTAAGAGCGTTCAAATTTTGCTAAATGTCCTGGCTAAACTAAGTATTTTTAAGGAAAGTTCTGTGAATATTTCCTTTTGAAGTCTCAGTTGTAATAGGTAAAATTGCGGATAAAATTCTCTGATAAATTAAAAGTAAAAAATTAAGAAGTTTCTAAAAAAATCCTCGATGTATCAACAGAAATGTGGCAGAGTCCGAGTGTTCATAAGTCGTTTTTCTTCAGCAGTTTATACGTCAGTAAAGACGACTGAAAATTTTAAAGCACCCGCGGTATCCGAAGATTATCCGACAGATAATCTCGACCGTGCTCCTGAGACGAATCTTAACGACCGAACTGAAATATGACTCCAGGAAATTAGTGCACCGTTTTTAACGCCTTTGTAGCACACTCCAGCATTGACAGTTATTCGTCACCTATTAAAGCTGACAGTTCCCAGAATTCACTCCTAATTTTTTTACCTGAACCCCCATTTCCTTGTATTCTTTCTCACAACACAGCGCAAATATCGCTCTGCATGAGACATTTATTCTGCCTTGCTGAGGAAAAACGCCGCATGAGCCTTCAGGCGTTGCCAAATTTCCTCCGAGAAAACGCTAATTTTCTGGAAAACTTATGAATATTTTCGCTCCAATTTTTTAGATAATTTTGTTCTCAATTTCACCTGAAGTTCCTGAAAATTTCAAGGGAAAATATTCATATGTTTCTTCAAAAATAAAAATTTTATTGAGGGAAATTTGGCAACTCTCGAATGTTCATACGGTGTTCTTCCTTAACACATCAGTATTCTACCTTACTAATAAAAAACGCCGTGTGGACATTCGAATGTTGCCGAGTTTACGCTGACAGAGAATTTATTTTTGACGAAATTTATGGATATTTCCTTGAAATTTTCACATAGTTTAGATCAAATTCTGAGGGAAAAACCTATGAATTCTGACAGAAAAATCTGCAAAAGTTTCCAAAAAATTGTGTTTCATCTTTAAAAAATTTGACATTTGGAGGCTCTTACGGCGGTTCTCCGAGGAGAACCGCTAGATCGAGATCTAGCTGTATTCTTAGTTGTGTTTTCCCGCTGAGGTTTGCATATATCTGTTCTTGATTTTTCGTTAAAACCATATGTGTTAGCCTATTATGATGGAATATGGAGCTATTGAGACATGTATGAGGCCTAATACTATTTTCCGGAATATTTTTTTAAAAAAACGCTGACAAAAATTTTGAGTTGCAAATCGTTCCAAAAAAATTGTAGCAAATCTAGGACTGGATAAATTACACGGGAGCATTCAGAATCAATGCGTGGGCGCATTATTACATGCCTTAATCGGAACCCATAGTTGGAGCCGGGCACATTATATCCTTCCCGCGAAATTGAACGTGCGCCCATCAACATGATACAGCCACTGGCAGACCAACGCAACGGGCGCAGCCTCTGGAAGTGCAGCAGTAAAATAGATTTATTTTTTTCCATCATTAATTTATAATGACCGACAGCGAGCACTTTCTCTTTCGATTAATTCTTCCTTTCTTTCTTTCTGGATCATTTTTGCTCTTCGATTCCCGCAGTTCCATATTCGACCGCCTGGGTATCCGCAAAAGCTCTTGATATTTTCGTCACGCGAATCTCACTACTGAACTTTGATTCTTATCATTAAATTTTGACCACTTTCATTTGAGTTTCGTTATGTAGTCTGAGTACCTTTCCCATTGGTGACAGCTGACAGGTATGCCATTTTCGGTCGATTTTTTATTCTAGCTGTGAGAGAAAGATGGGGTTTTTAGTTCAGTGATATAAGTAATGGGCTTGGTGGACAAGGCGCATTAGTGCAGTTTTTGCCATTGTGAGAAACACGTGTTTGAACTTTAAAAATTAAATGGATCCTTATGGCGGAAAGAAAGTTCAAATTGATTTTTTGATGCTTAAAAATCGGAATTTTGGAAGCGGATTTTTCACAGATTATGCATTTTAGACTAGTTTTACCAGGAATTATTAATTTCTCAGTTTTTTAAAAAACTGCATTTATGCGCCTTGTCCTCCAAGCCCCTCAATTATTTTTTTGTGAGGTATCAAATAATTAAAACGAGTCATTTCTTAAGAGACCAAACCAGGATCATATTCATAATCGTTCTTAAGAAGCTCCTTTCCCAGGGAAGCCATGTAGGTACATGCGTTTCCTTGGTTGACTCTCTTTCGTACCTTGCATTCGGTGTCAGCTCATCATATATTGTTGTTCATCTTCCCCTTATTTCCCTGCTTTTCCTATTTCTTTCATTTACATATGACCTCGTTCAAGCCCCATATGGTTTGACAAGATCCTTGACATAACATCATATACAGTACCATTTTCACAAATTTCCAGTAAAATTCAACGGCACAACTATGAAAATAGACCTTTCCGAGGGATTACAATTTGCATCTGTAAAATATTGAGAACATGAAAGAAAAAAAATTGTTAGTCATTAAAATGTTTACGATATGTGAATAGATACTTTAAAGAGGGTAAAAATTATAGAATTTTTCCTTGCGTAGTTTTCCGTTTTCGCAACAACAAATCACTGAAATTTGTTACGAGAGTCTATTTCCAAAGTTATAATATTAAATTCTACTCAAAATTCGTTGGAAATGTCCTATTAATGCTGCAATGTCAAGGATCCCCTTAATTATAACATAAACCATACGACGCAAGAAAAGAGGCTCTTTAGGGAATGCCTTTGTATACGAACAGCAGTACGTCTTCCGAAAAATTTGAAAAAGCTAACTCTGTCGAATTTGCTTTAACTATGGAGTTTTCTAGTTACATATTCATGAAAGGAAAAAAAGTAGCCTCAATAAGACAACTAAACTCTCAAGTTGCGAAGTTTTCGCTATTTTACACACTTCACAAGGTTAGAATCTAAATTAAGCTATTAAATAAGATGATGAAAAATGGGGATTACCACCTCATCACGCGACTAAGCAAACTAGTAAACTTACACTCTCGGACAACCTGTAATCGCGCTGTCGCTATTGATTTTAAACAAATTCAAAATTGAGACTTGCAGAACACACCCATAAATACGTCCCTGTTCAATTAAAGCCGTCCGACCAATTACGTGAAATAATTAAATTGCCCCCAGGAGATAGACTGATTGATGAAAAATCGATTGTTGGAGTGTTTTTCGAGCTGCTGCCAGACCACCACCCACCTCCGACGAGTTTTCAACCGCGGTCGACGATCGTCAACTAGATCGCTCGCTCCTGCAAAAAAATCGCCTTCAATATCTGCGACGGCAACACTATGCACAATATACTCGAACCAATATAATACCGAGCTTTGTTTGTACTGTAAATAACATGGATTCACACAGTGTGGCGTTTGCAAGTACTTTTGGTTATCTAGTATCCATAAGGAGATACAAATATCGACATTAAACTACTAGCAACACCACGTAAAATCCTTTCCCCCGTTAAAAATGTTCTCCAGGGATTTTCAGTGAAGAATTTTATTTTTTTTTTCGAAAGGAGAGGAAAAAATGAATTTTTTGCACTCTGCAAATGAAATCTAGCGAAATTTAGGCGATTTAAACAACGAATCCAAAGTATATTAACACCCTAACTATCTTTAAGGAGATGGAAAACCCCAAAAATATAATCTACTATATTGTGATATATTTGTTTTTGTTTTTATTTAATGGAGTCCATTATATAAATGTTACACCAAATTAGATAAACTGAAATTTGAAGGAGATCAGAGCTTTTCAGTAAAGAAACATGACCTGCTTAAAAAATAGGGACCCCACACTTTTTCTCTCTTTCTATGAAGAACACTATTAAAAAGGCCAATGAGAATGAGTAACTTGACTGGATCCATGAGTGTTCTTTCAAAGGAAGATAAATATTACTCCAAAATTTCCTTTTTAAATATCTTGAAAATGATAAATTCCCGGAATGGTACCCAATGTCGTTAGATAAGTCATAAATAATGATGAGATGTTATTGATATAAGGAGCAGTAACACTGAAATAGCCTCGTCTTACCTGATGTTTCAGGGATACGAATCCAATGTCACGGAGCGCAGTTTATGGGCGATGATAACCCCTACGTACTCCGCACGTTAAGTCCGTTTTTTTTCACGCAGAAAACTTCACTTAACTTTGAAGGAAACGAATACTACACCTTCCGCACTCACTTTTTTTCTTTAAAAAAAAAGAAAAACAAGTTTTATTACACTGCTAATAAGGTCAAATATCCGCTATATATTTCCGAAAACTGATTTTGCGCTTGTGGTATTGTGACTTTCCATAGGAAATACCTACACTTTGTAAATTAAAAATGAAACATTAAAAATAAAGAAAATTTGAGCCGTAACAAAGGACCCACGTATACCCGGCAGAACCAAAACTATGTTTATCAGATGGTAAAGAATAGAATTTTTCACATCAACACAAAGTTTCTCAACCTATAACTAAAAAGTGGACCCTTTGTTTTAAAAATAGTCTGAGTAAACTGATATAATTATATGAATTTCCTTTCATAATGCCGACCAGGTTGTGAGGACGGCACATTTAGTCGATTATTGCGTTGAAAATAAGCCTCATGCATAAATCAATTTATTTTTAAAGGGTTACCATTGTGAATTCAATCTTTTTCTTTAATTGAAAGTTAAACACCTGGTTTTGGGGCAAAGATCTTGTTTATTGAACCAAATCTATTATGCTCCGATCAATACTCCGTTACAAGAAAATAAATACTTTTTGAGCCCTCAGGGCCGATTCAATCACCTCTGATATAATTTATCCTTTCAACAAAACAAAAATTCAAACGCTATTTTAGGATAATTTTAGGGCGTGTGTAAAAAATATGATGGTCTGGATGACAAATTTAGTTCCGATGGAATACTTTGAAACTTTGAGTCTTAACCTCCGGTTAAAATTTGTCAGGCACCTGGGGTGCTTGTCAAATTTCCATCAAAGAATAATTCCTTAACAGAAGGTGATAAAACCGGGCCTTGGGCAACACAAGCTTTTTTCCTTAGGCTGAATTATAAATTTAATTTTTATCATAATCAGAATAATTAAGAGAGTATAATATTTACTAAGTCTCCCTTCCTAATGCACGATAAGGAATGAAGTAGATATCTAGTTTGATTGCAAAATTTGATCTGTACTTGAGATGTATCCTTTCTGTTATTTAATATTCCATCCTTCATATCCGCTTTCCCAGTTGTTCCGTTTCACTTTAAAAACTTAAATTCTTTAAATACTTAGGTACTTATTTCTGACTCTATTATTTCTCATGCAGGCAGTAAACGCAATCACATTAGTGAGAGAAAGTAATCATAGTTTGATTGGATAGTAATTACGACTGAATTTGGGCTGGATTTGAAGTTTTCCGGAATCTTTTAAAATTATGCTTATGTGACCGTCCACGGGTTCTACAAGGGAACTTAAGGCATGGATACAAATTTTTCAGGATGGCAACTTGTGTCAGAAAGTCAGTGTTTTAGCTTTTTTTAAAGAGGCATTAAAAAACAAAAAACAAGCTAAGGGTGTTTTGATTTATTTTGTGCCAGGAGAGAGCATAAAGTCAAATTTTAATTGAACACTTTTGAGCCTCGATCATGACAAAATAATATTTTCTTCAAATTAATTTTTTTTAAGCTATAAACTGGAAAACGTCATAACTCTGACTTTTCTTCTCTTTGCCAAAATATTCATCCCGACTTTCCAACGCACGGGAAAAAATTGAATGTTGCTTTAGCATTTATAATGTTAAAAAAATGTGCAACAAGTATAAATGCTGATATTATAAAAAAAAAGAAAAAACTTGGTTAAAAACGTTCACGGTAAAATGAACAAATTGTATGTTGAGTTAGTATTTTTTAAATGTAAAATCAAAATTTGATACTTGTCGCACATTTCTAACAGTATGAATGATAAATGAACATTCGATTTTTTTTCGAGCGGGATGGTCCCGATAGCCCTTCATTCTCCTCAGCACAAAGGTGCATTCACCTCTACCCATGCCCCTTATAAACCCACTATAGTCTCGAAATCGGCCTGAATCCTCCATAAACTTTCAACTATCCGTCCCTCCTAGTCTAAAGTTGGCTGCAGGTGCTAGTCGCGAAGTCTTGTAAAAAAAACATAAATATACAAAAAAAACTGAAAAACTGAAAAAAATATTTAAAACAATTAAAAATAAAAAGAAAAAAGAAAAGAAAAGGTGCATTATCCGGGGACGGTCACATGTGTCCGATCCTCAGTTTTCGTACACAATTGCAAAATCCTCATGATAGCCTCAGTTGGCTGCAGGTGCTAGTCACAAAGTCATTTAAAAAAAACAAAAAACAAAAACATACAAAAAAAACTAAAAAACTAAAAAAAATAAATTAAAAAAAATAAAAAAATAATAAAAAGGGAAGAGAAAAAAAGGTGCATTATCCGGGGACGGTCACATGTGTCCAATCCTCAGTTTTCATACACAATTGCAAAATCCTCATAATAGCCTCAGTTGGCTGCAGGTGCTAGTCACAAAGTCCTTTAAAAAACAAAAAAAAACTAAAAAACTAAAAAAAATATAAAAAAAAAAAATAAATAAAAAGGAAAGAGAAAAAAAGGTGCATTATCCGGGGACGGTCACATGTGTCCAATCCTCAGTTTTCGTACACAATTGCAAAATCCTCATGATACATACACGATTGAAACTGAAACACTCGCGATTGATGGGGTTTTGGATCCCGAAAAATCCCTCGACGGAAACGAGCGTGGAACCCGAGAGGGCGAACCGGAAACGGAAACGCGAGAGGGCGGGAAAAGGGGAAAAGCGCGAGTGCGATCGCGGCGAGGTCGAGGGGGTCCGGATCCGCAAGAGGCCCGAAGGAGATCAAAATCGAGACTGAATCAAAGAGTGGTGAATGATTCATGGAGCGGCTCCCCGCGATTCCACCGCGCCGCCGCCGCCGCCGCCAGCCCCGACGCTAGCGCTCCCATTCACTCCCACCCATAAACTCTCTTATCTCTCTCCTCGCACTTCCTCGCTTCCTTCCTTCCAATTTATTCTTCTTCCTTCGCACCCGCAAAATCATATTCTTTTGCCCTTTAATGCCATAGAGAAAAAAAAGGAGGTGTTTGCATTTCGGGCATCTTTGAATTTTTTGATGATTTGATGACGTAGGTCGGTACAGCGACGTTTAGCGTGAAGGAGACGTCGCTGTACCGACCTACGTCATCAGATCATCAAAAAATTCCAAGATGCCCGAAATGCGAACACCTCCTTTTTTTCTCGTCCCCTTCACGCTAAACGTCGCTGTACCGACCTACGTCATCAAATCATCAAAAAATTCCAAGATGCCCGAAATGCAAACACCTCCTTTTTTTTCTCGTCCCCTTCACGCTAAACGTCGCTGTACCGACCTACGTCATCAAATCATCAAAAAATTCCAAGATGCCCGAAATGCAAACACCTCCTTTTTTTCTCTATGCTTTAATGCATTGTATTTGATAGTGGTTCAATGTATCGTTTGGTTCAAAACGATAGAACATAACCTCGAACAAAAATTTTGGGATTTAAGGTGGAAAATCTGAAAATGATAAAATTCCTACACCCATAAACTCTCGTTATCTCTTTCCTCGCACTTCCTCGCTTCCTTCCTTCCAATTTATTCTTCTTCCTTCGCACCCACAAAATCATATTCCTTTGCCCTTCAATGCATTGTATTTGGATTGCATTTTGCAAAAAGGAACCACTATCTCTGGCTCCTCCGTAAAAGCACCTTTCTGCATCGGGAAATCAATGGCATGTATGCTGTTTCTAAAATGAGCCAGAAATAGTGGTTCCTTATTGCAAAACATAATCCATTTGATAGTGGTTCAATGTATCGTTTGGTTCAAGACGACAGAACATAACCTCGAACAAAAATTTTGGGATTTAAGGTGGAAAATCTGAAAATGAGAGAATTCCTACACCCATAAACTCCCTTATCTCTTTCGTCGCACTTCCTCGCTTCCTTCCTTCCGATTTATTCTTCTTCTTTCGCACCATCAAAATCATACTCTTTTGCCCTTTAATGCATTGTATTTGATGGTGGTTCAATGTATCGTTTGGTTCAAAACGATGGAACATAACCTCGAACAAACATTTTGGGATTTAAGGTGGAAAATCTGAAAATGAGAAAATTTTTACACCCATAAACTCCCTTATCTCTCTCCTCGCACTTCCTCGCTTCCTTCCTTCCAATTTATACTTCTTCCTTCGCACCCACAAAATGGCATTATTTTTCCGGTTAATATTTTTTCATTTGCTTAAGCCCTTTAAAAAGGGACCAGTGACGGAGACAGAGATTTCTCATGGAAGGACCCATAAAGAAGACATTTGCAACGCGTGAATGTTTTAGGCTTAAGGTGGAAAATGTCAAAATCGAGAATCACTGTTTCTACACATTTCTTGGTCTCCTGAATGCATCCTCAAAAGTTATAAGCGATTTCGTGAGATTTCACGCGAATAAACTTCATGAAATTTTTTATCTCTGCCCTTACCCGAAATTTAGAAAAACGACAATTTTTGTATGACTGGACAACCCATAGGGAAAAGACTGCCTGGACGACCGCCTAAGAGATGGGCACAAAGCTGGCTCTCTTCTCCTGAAGATGATTGAATGTTCCTGTTGCTATTTGTTTTATTGACTTGACGAATCTTTACAGATAATTATTAAATTTTTAATATTTTGTGCTTGGCACTCGAAGGCTTGACAAACAGGGCCATGCCCTAGTCGTTAGTAGAAGAAGAAGAAGAAGAAGACAATTTTTCCAAAAATTTGAGGACTGCTGTATGCATAAGTCCAACATTTCTTATAAGGGGAGGAGGGAGGGGGGAGTTTTGAAGGTAATTTTTTTTTAAAAATTACACAAAAATGGACCGTGCTTAGCAGGAAAGAAGCAAGCCACATCAGTTATTGTCATTTTTTTTTATTTTATATTACGCCATTTACCTCCGTTAACAGGAATCGGAGTAACCAAATTTGATTAGACCATTTTGTTTTTTATGAGAGAGCGTTTGTGCGGATTCCGGTGAAAATTTTAAGGAATTAGCTTTGTATTGTGTAGAAAATTCACTGAAATTTGCCAAAAAATCCACAAAACCGTTCTTATGCAAAAAATTAAATTGCCCAATAAAATTTTGCAAAAGTTGATGTGGCTTAGTTCCTTTCTGCTTGACGCAGTTTAAATATAATTTTAAAGAAAATTTTCTAGCAATGGAGTCCTGACCCCTTAGTCTTTCACCTTTAACTACGCCACTGAAAAGTACTTTAATCCATATAAACTGAAAATCAAGTTATATTTTCCGGAACATTGAAAAGCGTCCCACGAAGACTTTAGTACAAAAAAGAGACTGGAAATGCTACTTGAGCCGAGATAATAACGGTGTAAACTTGCCAGATCAAAAATAATGTTGTTTCTAGATTTCAGAACTTTACCACCTCCGTTAGCACAAACATGAAATTAGCCGCTTGCAACTTATTCGTCAGGATTATAGAGAGGAGGCTTCATCGAAACTGCAAAATTCAATTATTTGATCGAACTACGCTAAATTACTATAGTAATAAAGTAAAAATAAAGAATACAGTCGCTAATTGGAATATAGAGTTGAGTCAGAAATCGATTTTGAAACTTTGACGGAAAACTCTGCCTCAAGAAAAAATGCTGATGTTAAATTATTTTCAGGATCAATCCGCAAGAAACTTAAGAGGATTTAAATCGCTTACTTTTCTATCGCCGCGTTAAAGTCTCCCGCAAACGCTCTCCTTTACACTGAAAAAATAGTTCTGTTTACAGGGCTCCTGCCTTTTCTTTGTTACAGCTACAGAAGTTCCTGTTACAAGGACACAGTATTTTGTGTTCACGACCGAAGTTTTGTTCTCACAACAGAAAAGTTCTGTAAGTATAACAAAGAAGTATGTAAAGAAGCCTAGTGGACAGAAATTTTTGTCATCAGCACCGACTACTTTTTTGCGTGCACACAATCTGAAAGACAACGGTGCGGTGTGGGGTCTCTGAAATATATTTTCAGTAACGGGATAATTATTCTGTTGTGCCAAGGAAGAAGGCCGTATGAACATTCGAGAGTTGCCAAATTTTCTTCAATTAAATGTTTATTTTTGCGGAAAGCTATGAATATTTTTCCTTGAAATTTTCAGGAACTTTAGGGGAAATTGCGAACAAAATTATTTGAAAAATTGGGATTGAACTATTCATAAGTTTACCAAAAAATTCGTGTTTTTCAAAGGAAATTTGGCAACGCCTGAAGGTTCATACGGCGTTTTTTCTTAGCACGGCAGTATTGCGGGGTCTCAAAAATACTTGATATTTGCTAAGTGCGTATTTTATGGCCCTAATTTGGCAGCGGCGAGACGGATGCGTCTGGAAACTGGACACTGCACTGAAACTTTCATTCCATCTCGGACTCGGACAGAAGTATCAGGATCGGGCAGGCGCAGCGCAGGCGCGGGCTCTTTATTTCTTTTACTTCTTTTTCTTTCCCTCTCAAAGTTGATCGGAACTTTCAAGCGACTCGCCGGTTGCCGGCGAAAAATAATTACCACTTTGCATTGATCAAGCACTCGGCAGTTGTGAGCTGAGCAGCTCCCCAGACGAGTAATCTTCCTTTCTTCTTTCTTTTTTCTCCTTTTTCTTCCTCCGCGCTCCTCGTCCAGCCTCGCCGTCCTCGAGGAGTCCGACTCTTGGACACCGTTGTCATTTATCATGGCAAAACTCGCTACTTACTTCACTGAAAAAAATTCTCGGCGTTTTTACCAAGGTCCGATGGTACCTTTACCATCTCACTTGTTTTACCCATTATTGGTAATTTTACCAAGACAGACTGGTAAGCTTACCTAAAAACCGGTATTTTTACCGTTTTTTTCAGGTAAGAATACCACTTTTATTGGTAATCAATTCCCGGTAACTTTGCCGTTTTATCTTGGTAATTCTACCACGGTCGATACAAAATCTTGGCGTTTTTACCAAGGTCCAGTAAAATTACCGAGAAAGTTCAATAATTTTACCGAGATTTCTCGGTAAAATTACCAATTCTATAAATGGTAATTATACCAAGGAAAAACTGAGATCAAATAGAACCCTGAATTCTTGGTAATTTTACCCTTTTCTTAGTAAAAACACCGAGATTTTTTTTTTCAGTGTTTCAGCACGGAGAAAAGAACCTCGTGCATGGGTCTCAAAGTAGAGGTCATATGAATTTCTGAAGTTTTCTGACCACGCATCCGAAAACTTGAGGTCGAGCTGCCGAAGTTCGGGTCAGACATCGAGGCACTTCGGTATGTACCGGAGTACTTCAGATGTCTGACCCGAACTTCGGCAGCTGGACCTCAAGTTTTTAGATACCTGATCCGAAAACTTCAGAGATCCATATGACCTCAACTTCGGGTCCCACGCACGAAGTTTTTTTCTCCGTGAGCTGCTCCGAGAAAAATTAAAACCCTCAAAAATACGAACTTCGCTAGTTTGGCATGGTTTTGTGGACTGCGTTAAGCAGAAAGGAACCAAGTCACACCAGCTATTGCCACGTTTAATTGGGTGATATAATTTTTTACATGAAGTCGGGTGTCCGATTTTTGTTTGCAAAGTTCAGTGAATTTTCTGCATAACACGAGAAAAATTCCTTACAATCGGCAAAAAAAATCCGCACAAACGTTCTCCCGCACTAAATTAAATTGCTTTATTAAATTTGGCAATGGCTGATGTGGCTTGATTCCTTTATGTTAAACGGCTCCATGCTGACAGGATGACTGAAGAGAAGCTGCGGAAGAATATATACTGCAAGCGAGTATATACGTGCAACTTGTCCTTTTCTTTCAAAAA